AGAAAACCAAAATATGACTTTGAGTATATCCTACCTGAATTTCAGAACCATCTCAGGAACAGGTTTCAGGCTTTGAACACTAATGAGCGAAGGCCAGATGAGTTGTGGGAGGATATCAAGGGTATCATCCAGGAAGAGTCCAGACGGCCATTACAAAGACAAAAAGGAAGCGAAGACCAAAATTGATTTCAGAAGAGACTCTGAAAATTGCACTGGAGCGCGCAAAGAAGCCAAAGCACAAGGAACAATTCAAGATACTAAAAAGTTGAATAGAAGATTTCAAAAGGCAGCACGGGATGACAAAGCTAAATATTACAATGAAATGTGCAAGGAGTTGGAGTCAGAAAATCAAAAGGGCGAACTCGCTCAGCGTATCTTAAGCTCAAGGAACTGAAGAACAAATTCAAACCTTGAGTTGCTATAATCAAGGATGCTTTCGGCAGAATGTTAAATGATCCAGGAAGTAAGTATTCAAAGAAGATGCAAAGAGTATACTGAGTCACTGTATCGAAAGGAATTGGAAGACACAGAAGAATTTCATGAAACAATATATGAGCAAGAGCCTATGGTGATGAAAGTAGAAGTTGAGGCTGCTTTGAAGGAAATGGCAAAAAATAAGGCTCTAGGAATAGACGGTGTACCAGTTGACATATTTCAGCTAACAGATACTGCCCTGGATGTGCTCACCAAGTTGTGCCAAGAAATCTGAAGAACAACCACTGGCCAACTGACTGGAAGAGGTCTGTACATGTCCCCATCCCAAAGAAGGGCGACCCAACTGAGTGTGGAAACTACAGAACAATTTCATTGATTTCACATGCAAGCAAGATTCTACTGAAGATTATTGAAAAACGACTGGAACAGTACATCAGCAGAGACCTGCCAGAAGTCCAGGCAGGGTTTAGAAGGGGTCATGGTACTAGGGATATTGTAGCTGATGTTAGATGGATATTAGCTGAAAGCAGAGAATACCAGAAGAATGTCTATCTGTGTTTCATTGACTATGCAATCACTGTGGCTGACTCTGAGAAGAGTGGGAATCCCAGAACACTTGATCGTTCAAATGCGAAACTTATACTTGAACCAGGAGGCAGTCGTCATAACAGAGCAAGGGAACAGTGCATGGTTCAAAATTGGGAAGAGCGTACAACAGGGATGCTTCCTATCTCTATACCTTTTCAACCTATATGCAGAACAGATTATCCGGGAGGCTGGGCTCTATGAGGAGAAATGTGGGGTCAAGATTGGTGGACGATTTATCAACA